AGGTGAAATACAATGACATGTAACAAACAACATTAAAGAGGAAAAAGAAAAACAATTAACAATATGTCGTAAATGTCAAGTCGATATGTTTTTCTTTCTCTTTTTTGACTCTGCATATGTGTTTTAATGCAATATTTTTTTTATTCATTGGTTTGAATAATTAACCAATAGAAATTTTATATTGATTGTGTGTGTGTGTTTCAACAAAATAGAATAAATTTACATATTCTATATATAATCATATAATTATGGATATAGCTTCATCAATACAAAAAGTTTCATCATCAGGTATAATAACAAATACAATTCAACCAACGACAACAACAATATCTAATGCACCACGAAGTATAATTGTAAGAAAATCAAGTAATGGTTTTGGTTTTAATGTACGTGGACAAGTATTTGAAGGTGGTCAAGTTAAAGCTATACATGGAACACTTTATGGACCACTTCAACATGTATCAGCTGTATCAAATCGAGGATCAGCTGAAAAAGCAGGTCTTTGTGTTGGAGATAAAATTCTTGAAGTGTATGTAATTTATTTTTTGTGTTGAAAGTATTGAAACTATTTCTTGTTTTTGTTTTTCATAGAAATGGTGTTGATGTAGAAGGTGCATCACATAAACAAGTTGTCGATTTAATTAAACATAGTGGTGATGAACTTAATCTTGTTGGTATGAAGAAACGAAAAGAAAAAAAATTTTGTTTTTGTTTTTGGTAGATTTGAAAATTTCTTTTTTTTTTTACAGTTATTGCATCGGCTGGTGATGAAACACATAGTGATGTACATTCAGGTGAAGAATCAAGTGGAAGTTCAAATGATTATACAGAAAGACGTTCACTTGCTATTACAATACCAGATTATAGTTTATTAGAAGTGCATGATGAAAAATTTTATGTAAGGATTTTCTTTTTCTTTTGCTTTAAGTCTTACTTAGAAATCAATCATATGTAAAAAAAAACGATAAGAATATATAGAAGACTATTTATTAAAGAAAGTAGTATATTCAGAATTATATTCATAATAGTAGTCTTATCTAAAAATAGACTAAAGAATTTATATACCTTAGTCATATTCAAAAAGAAATTAGCCATACATAAATATCATCTACAAAAAAGCATTTTTGACTAATGAATATACCCATTAAAGAAAACCCTGACATTTATTTAAGTAGTAATTGGAATTATTAAAATTAAAGCAGGAAGTTGATATTATTTGAAGAAAAAATATTAAGAAAATTAAATAATATATAAATTAGTAGTCTGACAACCCTTATTTTAAATATATATCTGCAGCTGGTAGATATGTCCTAGAGGTTGATTGGAAGATTTTTTCTGAAGTTGATCGAATTTGTGAGAAGTGGTAGGTTGAGTTTCTTTTTTTGGGAATTGCTAAGTAAAAATACTGAAGATCAACGAAAGACTTTCAAGATTAAGGTCAGAGTCGTTCGCTCGTGTGTCCAAAATCAGTCGAACCGTACTTTGATACTCTCAATGAAATATTCTAATCCAAATTGGATAGTCGTCTAGAAGATTTGAGATAATTCTTTCCGATTTTTTGTATTCAGTAACTAGGGCACACTACACGTTTCTTAGATGACTAACGTCCATCGGGTTCAAATTTTTCAGACCTCCACCCGAAATCAATCCAACGGATCATACGCTTGAGAAACCCCTGACAAATTAACTATAGACTAAAACTAGTCTTTTTTTCATTCCATCTTATGAGATTTTATTCTACTTGCAAAAAAAAGCAATTGTAAAATTTATCAAACTTTTCTTTTTTGTTTTTTTTTTAGGTGTTTAATATACATATTGCTGGTAAATATTAAATAGAAAAAAAATTGTTTTTTTTTTCTACCTTGATTTTATCGTTAATGTGATATCTAATAGGTCGTCATTTATGTTCACGACGTTATCGAGAATTTGCTTCATTACATCAACAATTAAAACAAGAATTTCCAGATTTTCCATTTAGTCCTTTACCTAAAAAATGGCCATTTAAATTATCTGATCAACAATTAGATGCTCGTCGACGTGGCCTTGAACAATATCTTGATAAAAGTATAAACGAAAAACAAAAATTTGATTAAAAATAACAGTCTTTTTATTTAGTTTGTTCGGTTCGTGTGGTTGGTGATTGTGATCTTGTACAAGAATTTTTATCAGCTGATGTTTATGAAGTAAAATTCTGCGTTTTTTTTTCTTCTTGACACAGAAAAAAAAAGTTTAATAATTGTTTTTTTTTTTCTAGCGCGATTCAATTTCAATTGATGTTGAAATTAAAATTATGTTACCTGATCGATCAGTTACAATTCTTAAAATTAAACGTTTTACTACTACTGATAAAGTTTATGAAGTAAAAAACGAAAATATAAATTTATTATTTTCATATTAAAATAAATTTATTTCTTTTTTTTTGAAGGCTGTTGTTGAAAAAATTAATCTACCACAACAATGTGCTCCATTTTTTTATCTTTTTGAAATTCTTGATTATACATTTGGTAAGATTCTTTTGTTTTTTATTTGAATGTATTTATTTAAATTCAATTTAGAACGAAAACTTCGTCCAAATGAATATCCACATCAAATCTATGTACAAAATTGTTGTACAGCTAATACAACATGTTTATGTTTACGTAAATTTGTTTTTTCACCAACAATTGAAAATCAACTATTAAAATATCCATTAGCACGTGATTATCTTTATCGAGAAGTAAGAATATGTTTTAGATTATTTTTTATTTGTAATTTAAATTGTACATTCGAAATTTTTAGAGAGTAAGAAAAAAAAGAAATTAAACATTATTCCTTATCATATTATTTTGTTATCATTCGTTCTTTTCCGTTGACCTTCTGTTTGATGTACTTAAAAACGTAAACTTTCATGATAAAATAGTAAAGGTGAAACTTGAGTATATATGAGATAAAACTCTATTACCTATGACAGGTATTCGAATAAAGAAATGCCTTCAAAAAAGATTATTTGACTAGGTTTATTTTTAATTATTTTCTGCTCATGTAAACATTAAAGAACAATTAAAAATAGTCATTTGAATAGAGAATTTTATTTCTAATAAGGAAAAAAAAATGATTGTTAATCTCTCGAGGATACGGATTCTCAAAAAATCGAGTGTTTCAGCTCTTAGAATCCTGTATGAGTTAGTTAGAATGATAGAGCGAAATTCTGTACAAAATGAAACACCGTTCAGCTGTCTACGATGGTTTTTGATCAAGATACATTAACCGTCATTTTTTTTCTGTTATTTCATGTGGAAGAACTATATTTGTGCCTTTTGTAAATCGTGTCATTTTATAGAGAATTGTTTGTTTGATCATTCTAGGTAACTCACAGAGAATTATAATTGTCGATTCTAATGAGATGAAAAACTCTGTTTTTGATTTTTCCGCAATCATTTTTATTGTTGAAAGTTTTTGTTAGAAATAAAATTTTCTATTCAAATAGCTATTTGAATACTTCTTATTGTTTATGGTAGCAGAAGAGAATTGAAAATTCATATTAATTTTGGTCATTCTCTACTTTGATCAGATTAATGAGTGACATAATTTCGTTCATTGAATTAAAACTCTATTAAAAATATATTTGACTCTTCGTATTAACTAATTATTTTAAAAAAATGTTTTACTTATTTCTAATCTATTTTTTGTGATAATCTAGAATTTTTTCTCAAATATCGTTAATCATTAATTAGAAATATTCATAATCGAAAAAAAAAAAATCTTAAATATTGTTGATGAAATAAAGAAAACCCTTTTTTTTTTCTTAGGCAATCGATCAATTAAGTCGTGCAGAAAATTCAACTGTTGATCAACGTTCAGCATTAAAAACTTTTGATGAAATTGAATATATAAAATATGCTCAGACATTTACCGATATATATAATACAATAACATTTCCTTTATGTCCATGTAGTTCACGTAAAGATAATGGTTGTGTTATATTATCATTAAATAGTACACGTCTTCGTTTACATGCTTGTACTGATGATGGTCAATTAGAAGCAAATCAAATAGCTGATTTTGAATGGACAACAATTGGACGTTATTGTGTTGATGAACAATATTTTATATTTGAATATAAACGTTCAACAATGAAAGTAGCTAAACCAGTTAAATTACAAACACCATTTGGACAATTTATGTATGATTGTTTTGAATGTATTCTTCGTGAATTACAATTAACAACTAATAATAATAACGAAGAAGATAAACCAAATGTTTAATAAGGAAAAAAAAACAAACTTCTTCACTTGTTTCTTTTTTTGGTCTTCTATTTTCGTACTTGATTAATGATAACATAGCATTTATTAATCTTTGTATGAGTGCAATCATCTTTTGTTTTTTGTGTCTTGCAATAGCGATCTGATGGAATTGCATTTTTTTTTTCTTTTACATAAACTAAGTCATTTGTTTTTACATATGAATGATCGATTTTTTTCCCCTTTTCCCTATTAATATGCATGATCGCTTACCCCGGTTTGTTTAGTCTCACGTGATAATTAATCAAAAGAAAAAAAAAAAAACAAAAATATATCCTCACCTTTAATGTATGTATATGCGCAATCAGTATTCTTGCCTCTTTTTTTTTTTTACTGCTAGTTAGTTCTTGTTGTTTTTTTCTTATATATATATTTACGCAACGAATAAGATAAACAATAAAGGTGTATGTATGTATATATAAAGTCATGTATTCAATTTTTTTTGTGTATGCGCGTCTGTTTGTGTACATCTTTATTTTTTTTCTGCATTGTCCTTTGCTGTTATGTTGATTATCGAACTTAAAACAAAAAAAAACAAACCTATAGAAAAGAAAATTAAAGTAAACAGTATTTTATCAATAGAGATTTGTATGCTGTTTGTTTGTGGGTGTTATTTGAATATATTATAATAAAAGTCAATATGTTACTATGTATTTATTTATTTTAGTTTTGTGTAAAATACTTCTGATCTTTACATCAAATATAAATATTTCTTTGCAGATGTACTTTTCCATTCCGGATACAACAGATATATCTGCTAAAAGAAGTAGTAATCAACATGCTTTTACATTATTCAATATTCATGTAAATGGTAATCATCATTGTAGTTTACGTTATTCTCAATTACGTGCATTTAATGATGAACTTCAACGTTTATTTCCAGTTTCAATGATAAATATTCAACCATTTCCACCTAAAAAATTTTTTAATTTATCATTACGTGAAATAGATGAACGACGTATATTACTTGAACGGTATTTACAATCTGTCGTACAACATAAATCTCTTATATCATCATCATATTTTGATGATTTTTTTTTAAATGCTCAACGTGAAACATTTCTAAGTGAATTAGTTAATAAAACATATTCTGAAAAAATTAATTTTACAATTTATTTATTAAATCAACATAAAATAATTATTGAAAATCTTTCACCATATGATAATACATCAAAATTATTTGATGCATGTGCAAATAAAATTCAATTAGAAAATGAATATTTATCATATTTTTCATTATTTTTTTATGAACTTAAAAATAATCAATTAAATATTATTCGACCATTATTTTCTTTTGAATCTCCATATTTATCATTAGAAAAAGCATTAAAATTAAATGAAAATTATTGTATCGTATTTAAAAAAACTTATTGGAATTTAAATTATGATTTTAAATTAATTGATAATCGTCGTACACGTAATCTACTTTTTATACAATCACAATATGATATTGAACAAAGTGAAGATTTATATCCAAGTGATATATATCAACAATTAAATATTTTATATGAGAATAATTCATTTAAAGAATATATTTTATTATCACGTACATCTAAATTTTATGGTTATATTATACTTCAACAATGCTCAATAAATGATTTAATAACAGAAAAACTCTCTCAATGTATATTAACTATTGGAAATAATGAATTACTTTGTTGCATAATTAATGATGATAAGAAAAACACTAATTTATTTACGAAAGAATTTTCTTTTAAAGTTACACGTATTCGTTGTTGGAAAGTTAATTGTGCAAAACAAAATGTCAATATAGCATTTGAATATTTAATTAAAAAAGATACTTTACAATGGATTATTATATATACAGAACAAGCAGCTTTAGTTAGTACCTGTTTACAAAGTATGGTTGATGAAATATTAGCAAATAAAGTTGTTACAACTAGTTCAATATCAATATCTGATTCATCGAATAATCGATCTAATATTACAAATGGTCTTACAACACGTACAAAATCAGATTTAGATCGTTTAAATAATAATGAATTATTTGATAAAGGTGATGGAGATGATGATCTGTAGAATAAATTGATTTCAAAAATGAATACATGAAAACTTCCTCATTTCAGTGCAATTATTTACATATAATATAAATCTTCTAATCCGTCCATGACGAATATAAAACCAACACTCAATAATTTTATATATTTGTTATTATATCTAATCATCTTCAACTTAATTTGTTTTGTTTTTTTTTACTTCATTGTTAAATTTTTGTCTGTATAAAATATTTTTTTTCAATGTAATTAATCTTTTTTTTTCTCAAAATACCAAGTCATAAAGAACGAACATCTAAACAGACATGTATTTTCAAAAAAACATGTTTTAATCGCGATTAGTATTCCACAATAGACAACAACATAGATGTTACGTGAAAACATGAAGGTGAGCTTTTTCGAGATTTAAATAAAAAATTTGTTTCTGACTACTAAATTCATTGAAAAAACTTAGCCACAAAAAAAGATCAAATTTCAGCACCTCCAGAGAAAAACATCACATTTTTAAAGAATTAGATAATAAGTCGTATATACTCTGGAAGTAGAACTTCTACTCTATCGATTTGTAAGACACGTTTTCGTTCTGAAAAAACAATTATTCTTTTTACGCTAAGCGTTTCCCAAAAAGATATCTTCAGTGAAGTAGGCTGCCACCTTTTCCACTAATGCGATATCAACGAAACTTTCAGTGAACCTTCTTCTATATCTGAGATATACATTCAGTTAGCGGAAAGATGCACGAATGGTTTTGGACTAAAGCACAGGCTTTCTAAAAACCTTGGTTTTTAAAGATTTTTTAGCGACTCTTTTGTTTCTACAGAAGAACTTTGAGAGAAAAATAAAAATATATTTGGAATCAGCGTGAAATATTGCATCGAGTGATATATTATTTATCAATTTTCCGCAGAAGTTTAGGGCAAGAGTCTTCCTCAGGAATTTTCCATTGCAAATGGTCTTTTTTTACCAAATTTTGCTTTTTTTCATCAGGTTTAATTTTGAGTACAAGAAGCGAATGTCCATGTAGACAAATTCTGCATCTGAAAAAAGTGTAAAAATTTTTTTCTTGGAATATTTTTCAGATAAAAATGACTCTCTTCAAGCATCTTTAATGATAACAGTAGTTCATTTTAGGGTTTTCTGAATGGACATGAAAACTTTCAAACGAGAACCACAATTAGTGCGTTTTCAGAAATTTTTGTCTACTTTGGTGTACAATCATGATATTAAAATGTTCGTTTGTTTTAACGAAAAAATTTTCAAACAACAGAAATTGGATAAATAGACTTATCTCACAGGGTAACTCGAATGACTAGCTCAACAAATATCTCAATAAAAGGAATCCATTTATCCTATAGAGGGTAAATCGACTCGTTGCAAGAAAGAACTCAAATTGCCTACTAAACAAATATATATGTCGATGACAATACACACGTAAACTTTTTGGAAAATTCTGTTTTAATTTATATTTTTTTTCAACTTCTAACATATTTTCAAGAGTAATTTAATATAACCAGATGTGTTCTGATTTATCTAGTCAATAAAAGTTTTCCATTGTACGACTCCATGTGCCTCTATGATGGTGTCCATATTTTCCCTTAATTCTTTGGACTCCTTCAAACGGTACCCACAAAAGGAAGAAGAATAGACTAGACATAGGGGTGTCATTATCTTCGATAATGGTCTACATTATCTATTAGATGTGACATATTATAATGATCTTGATATAGAGCAAAAAATGGATTTAATCACCAATAAAGAACGTGATTTGTCTCATCGTAAATTGAAGGACAAATTTCCAGTATCTATTGGTATTTTATCAAATAATCTTGAAAGAAAAAATGAATATATTAATAACTACGAAACCAATCGAAACAACAAGTTGAAACGAAAGCCGAAAGATGGTTTTAGTCAAATCAGTAATGATAATATTTATGAGTGGTGAATACTATAATAAGAGGTACTTTAAAAGCGCCCGAAGGTAATACAACTGATGTTTTAATTTGATTTTGCTTGAATTCTTCTAATATAATTGCCTTGTTCTACTGAATGATTTTCGTCGGTCCCGACGATGTTCACATTAGAGAAGTTTTACTGTATTTCTCTCAAATACATACTCTTCCTTCTTTAAACAGTCTTTATAGTTTGAACTCCACTTTGTACATGAAGGATGTATATGCAGCGTTATTAATAGATTCAATTTTTCACAAGTTTTGATTTAGTTTAAAAATTGATTACATGCATCATTTGCAGACAAAGTCTATCCTATATATTGTGTGTGTTTCAATAATAAACAAATAAAATGAATGCATCCTTCTCGGACGAGTGTATGTATAATATTGTTAAAAATTTATCATTCAAAATCTAATATTTGGCTATCATGATTCATCACTAATTTAAAAATAATAATACTGATTTTATTCTAACTGGAAATGGGGATAAACGTAATATTTTATTTATATTAATCGTCTTACAGAAAAAAAATCCCAAAAAATTTATTTCTGTGAATAGCCCCATGTCGCATAGAGCGACCCGTCAACAATCATAGACAATTCGAAAATAGTAAATTAGCGTGATAAACGATATCCGTTACAATCACCATTCACGTTTCAACAGAAACAACTATCATTGGGACCGCTATTTTTAAATTGAATTAATCTTTTGAGCCCGGTGGGACATAGGTTGTACTATCTGTTTTTCAGCGGAGCAAAAGTGTTTTGTTTAAATTAAACTGTTAGACCTGCCAAGCCATATAGGTCATAGGTGATCCCGTTCGTCATCTTCTATTTATCTTTTCTTTCTCTCGTATACAGTAAAACTTCTTTATATAAACATTGCTAAGTGCTGAGCAATAGACGGTCCACCCAAGCAAGTTTTACTAGGAGTAAGCTTCTCTCATATGAGCACCTCCTTACACTGAGTAGTGAACGCTTATCTCTAATCTCATGACCAATAACAATCTCTGTAATGCAAGTAACAAATGTTCTATTACTCATGCATAGCACGAGGAAAAATGATGTTACGTGTATTTCGTTATGACAAATAATTATAGTATATACATAAGAAGGAAACGCACTAACTGTGCATATTTAAAACAAAAGAAAACCAATACTAGACAACAGCAACAGGGCTTGGTATATCATCTCGTCGTTTTTGTGTTAACAGCTAGTAACATCAAATCATGCCAAAAAGATCACCTTGTGCAGTCGAAAAGTAATTGTAACTGAATAATTAAAAGTAGAAAAAAAAAGAAACTGACAATCTCTCAATATTGAGCATCTCAGTAAAGTGAGCTTTTTGATCAGTCCTAATGGTGCTCACATTAGAGGTTTTACTATAGATTCTTTTCAAATATTCTCTGCTCTTTCTGCTACTGTACGATGATGTCATAATTTCTCTCTTTTCTTCTGATCTATTGTCTTTCGAGATTATATTCACGCTTTATTGAGCTTATATATATACATGCTCCTGTTCTCATTGACGGATTTACATTGTTCTTGATTTTGAAAAACATTCATTGTTTTTCGTTCACTACGAAGTACGAATATACCTAGATCCTTTTTCAGTCAGACAGCAATAAAACTATTTGTACTCTTTATTTCTTTATATTCTATTTATAGTTAAAACTAAACAAATGGAATTATATGGAAATATTGAAGTCGATTAGGGGTCCTGTAATTCCTATACTAGTGATGACAGCAATCAGAGTAGCTTCGATTTCGATTATAATGAGTTACCAGATAATTTCGATGACATTGGATCTTCTGATATTTCAAAGATGCGATTTTGCTGCAATTGAAATAGACATCATGCCGTTTTATATTTTATGTAATTTTTTTTTGTTATTGTGAAGTTTCAGTTCATTTTTTTTTGAACTATTTCGAGTGGTAATCGAGGATGTTGGAATACATGGATGGTTGAAGGGTGAGCATAATTGATGGGGCTGTTGTTTGACGTAGTTCTCATCCAATATTATTGCACTTCCCCACACATCATACCATCACGTCTTAATCAAAACTCATACAATTCAAGTACATCCACACGTATGTTATAATGCGTAATTGTGTGTTTTTTCTTTTCTATAAAACGAAATCAATGATTGAAAAGTAAAGTATTGCTTATGCGTAAAACGCAATAAAAACACTACTATGTCATTTCATACGTCATGCACAAAAGAACAATAAATCTTGAACCAATTTTTTTCCTGTACATAAAACATCGAGATTGATGCCCATTATGTAAACAAAACGAACATACTTGAAATACATTTAAGATTTTCCTGCTCGCTGTCCGAAACTTCACATGATTCTCATATCTAATAAGAGGAATATAGTCTATAGACATGACAAAAAATAAATAGACAAAAATATATAATTGAAGTTTAATAGATGTTGAAAGAAAAAAAAAAGGTGTAGATGAATGGGAGATCCTAACACTCATATCCTACTTTTCACATTTGATGGTTTTTTTTTCGGTAGTGTTCTTTTCTATGTTTTTTCATCCATTCTTAAAAAACGAATTTCATTCAATATGAATGTTTTATTGACTCACTTGAAATAAGATAAGAATTATATGAGTTTTGTTCATTTGTAATAAAAATCAACTTTATTAATCAATTGATTATATTGATCCTGAGAAATCTACCCTTTCTGTTCCTATTGTCAATGTTCATATCGCATATTCCGAACCAAAAAAATCGACAAATTATGTTTAAGTTTCTTCTGAACTCATGTTTTTCATACTTTAATAAATGCATTAATTCGAATTAATGTTCAAAATGATTGATATCTTTAAAAAATAAATCTCATAAGCAATAGAAATAAACTTATATCTTAAGATGAAAATTTACACGAGTTTCATTTTTTCGAAAGTAATTATTTATGTATATATTTTAGAAAAAACAAAAAGATTAGTATATTCTTTTCCGATATAGATATGACGATACATGCATATTAATTAGTTTATATCAATCTTAAAATATTGAATGTAATTAATTAATCAATCTTGTTATTTAGTTAAAGATATGTAGAGTAATGAAATAAGCAATTTTAGCCATATCATACGGAATAATCAAATATTTTTCATTAGTAGGATATGTTTTTCTTCTATGTTACCTGTTTATAGAAACGCAAACTTGCTTTCAAAACATGTTTTTTTCCTTGGAAATCAAATCAAGAAAATTTGAGAGTAGTGCGTATAAAATACAATGTTATTACTGATCAAATAAAGCATCTAGCCGATATTTGTATTAATCTATTATTATTGTATAAAAATTTTCTACGGACCAGAAATACGTATGACGATGAAAAGAAAATGACTCATTATCAATTTTATTATGGTTGGAACTTTAGCAAGTGTAAAAATGATTCATTAGCATTACAAATTTTCATTAACCATCTATTTCGTTTTATTCATTTTTATATTTTTTAAGAGAATGATGGCTATTTTTTTTTATCGTTCTTTTCGTTTGGTGACGTAAATTTTCTTTTTTGCCTATATGACGTACGCGAATGGGTTGGAATTTTCCAATGTACCCAATGGCATTGCTAAAAAGCAATGTCTTTATTTCGAATTACGGTAGATTTTTTTTTCAAACCTTCAATGCGTCTAGAATCGTATCTGATGTTAGTTTTTAGCAACAAACTTATGTAGTATCGACAATTAAGTGAGTTTTTTTTTCTAAAGAAAACTTTTACGTTTTCAGTTACTTATAAGGTAAGGTTTGTACGTTTTTGTTTTTCGAAATCATTTCTCAAACGAACATGATTTTCATTTAATAGAAATACGTATTGATAATCTGTCAATAAAAATGAATCAAGTATTATTCATTGATTGTGAAATTATCAAAATATAAATAAAACGTAATTTTGATAGGAGAATTGACGAAGAAAAATATTTATTTGAACTCTAGTTAAATCAACATTATACTATAAATATTTCGTCCTTCGTATAATTAGCGTATGTCATTTAAATACTAAATAGAGTTTGTCTAAAAAAAATAATATCTTCTAAATCAAGAGAACATGTCGATATTAAGAAAATATTTCCAGAAAAAAAGATCCTATGTTGTTTAATTAAAAGCTTATTTTGAAAATTTTCTTTTGTAGATCATCTTAATTATTGCAGCTGAACGAAACATTAGTTAATCTTTGGAATTACAATCACTGAACGGTTACGCTTGGCCGACAAACTGGTAAGTAATTGATCTAATATATTCTATATTTGTGTTTACTCTATTGTTGACTGCTTCAATAACAATGAACCGTTTTCATTTTCATGACATGAAATATGATCATGAAATTTTATTCAAATAATCAACAGTTATGACAGAACAGTATTCAAAATTTTAAATGATCTTGAAGTACAGCAACATCTCACAAAATCATTGTTATTTTCCCTTGTTTAAACTTTTATTATAACAAGAGAAAAAAGAAAGAAACAAAAAAATTTTTGACAAAAAAAAAACGTCAGCGACGAGAACATAATAAGTCGTATGATCTATCTTACTTATAAAACACTTAGAATCCATCTTTCATTCAACAAAACCCTCGTTTTTCATCAGAAAACAAAGAAGGAAATCTTAAGGGATAAGAACTTCATCTTATCTTATTCGTTTATAAAATTCTTTCGTTCTTGTGTTCTGTTCGATTGAGCAACGATTAGATTGATGCATTAAAAATTAAATTGACTCAAAAAGATTATTTAAATGTGTTGTTAAATTTGATATAAATCCCATTTCTTAATAGTTTTAATTCGTCTAATTATATTTTGGGAGTGTCACACGGAATATTCTTTCATAAGTATCATATATTGCACTTCAACAAAGAAAAACACACACTATAGAAAAGAAAATAATCGATAAGAGGTAAAAATGACGTTGTTAATTTCTGTAAGGTTCCTTTAACTATCATATAAACTAAATAGTTTTCTTATTAGTCGATTCAAGTATATTATGACATCATCATTAGAAATGATAAAGTTGTTTTATTCAACATAGTGTAAATAATGTACATGCGCGAATAAACGATGCTTATCTTATAAATTAGGACAATATTCATCGCTATTATTTACTAATTATTAAGAAAGTCAATTAGATCGACGGTCTATTATTGACATCCGAAGATTTGATTGACCATAACCTGTAAGAATAATTATAGAAATTTAAATTAAGAAATTATAAGAATTAAACGCTATGAATTTTTGTATGTGAAACATAAAACAAAAACTAAATATTTAGTTGGAAAGAAGTTTCTCTTTGTTATTCTTTCAAAAATTCAAAGATTTCTATCTTTATAAATTGAATAATTTTTTGAATATTTGAAAAGCATTGTTTAATCAAAATGATATCTACGCTATCAACATCGAAGTAATTTCTATATCATATCGACAGAAAAAAAATAAAGATATTTAGATTTTTAGAATGTCATTTATATATATATATATACATATATATTTATTTTGTTCGTTTCGTCGAATTAATACTATTAATAATGATCGTTTTTGGTCGAAGAATCATTCCTGTTCCTGTTGATCTTATCAATGTTCTTTCTAGTGTCATTGATGTCGAATCACTTCGTTGACGTTTAATTGTTAATCCACGTCTATTATTGTTTTTGCTTGTTAATTGTGCATTATTCTTTGTTAAAGGCATTATTGTTGATGTTGATGATACTTTATCATTTAAACTATTTTTCAATGGAAATAACGATGATTTCATTTTCATTTGAATATTATCTTTATTTATTTCAATAGATTTCATCATATTCTTATCATTTTCATTTATTGGTGCTAACCGAACTAAAATATTCAATAATAAGATATGCTATATTTTTGTTTTTGTAAAAGATGAGTTAAGGGGGGCCCCCCCTTAGAAAATCGAATTTTTCAAGGGAATATCGAAGTTGAGTTTTTATCACAGGAAGATGCGGCGAAGCTTCCTCTTTCAGAATATATATAGCTTTTTGGAAAATGACCGGATTTTCAAAGACTTATCATATAAAACTTTGACTCTACTACCATATTTTCGGAGAAATTTTCAGGTGTTTCAGTTTTGAAAAAACTGCGTTGTCACTTGCATTAGCATTGAGTAGAACACTTTTATATTACCCAACATGTCAGATGGCGTTAGTTACCTTCATCTCTTACGTAGTCTAAAACGATCCACTGGAATGAATTAATAATATACCATTGTAATATGATTTTTTCTGGATTTGAATGAAAAAATCCAGTTCTAAAATTTCTTTAGCGTTTTTCTCAAAATACGGTTTTCAGACAGAAAAATTGAAATAACTCCGTCCTGTCTCAAGCTATAACCAATAATTTTTTTTTGTTTTAAAGGTCTTGATTAGAGCTAACTTTTCATCGGACGGATTTTTGATATTGAACCCCAGGGCTGAGAAAAGTGGAATTTACTGTTGTCGAACCACACTTTTTTATGCTTATTTTGCAGACATGCCCACAAAATCGCTCGTAAAAAATGAATGGAAGGGACTTTCAAAATTCCGTCCGATGAAAAGTTGGGTACAGAGGCTAGCTACAATTTGAAATCAACCCGAGCTCTGTATCCCTTCTCTGGGCGGAGTTATTTCGATTCTTCTGAAAGGTAGGAAAACCAATCAAAACTGCGATTTAGTGGGACATGTGAAGCTGAAATTTTTATCATAAGCGTTTCTCACTAAGACCAATCATCCCTGAAAATTTCAGCCCAAACGAAGGGTCCCAAGTAGGACTTCATTTCTAAGGGGGGGGGGGCCCTTAAAAGGAGTGTTGAAATATATAGAGTAGAAATTTGCATCCTGGCCTACACACTATGGCAGAGGAGATCAATAGATACGTTAGAAATAGTAGATATCTTAGCAATGATATATCAAAGACCGTGATAGATCTACTTCCGCCTCCCCGATATCACCGACTAACAGACGTTTTAAATATACAATCAGAGACTGTATTTAAATAACGTCTCATTATAATATATGACCTATTTCGTTATTGCATTTTTGGAGAATTAAGTAAAATAATGATGAAGAGATGTGTTATAAACTTGTTTTAGTATAGGAAAAAGTTCATTTGATATGGAGTGTATTTGATGAAAATACTAAAGTTGATTGTTGATATTAAGATAAAGAATGTTCTCTTTTATGATTGATAACATCGTATGAAGTTTAATATGTGTAAATCTTATTTAAGATATTAAAAACTAAGTTATTTCTAATAAAAATTCGAATCTGATTTATCCAAGCAGTTATCATATTCGAGTAGATTTAATGAATCTTACTTAAAGTCTTCGGTTTACATCGAGGAAATTTTGTTTTGTGCTTTGTAGATCTACATTTTCGATAATATCGAATATTTTTTGAGATTTTTGTATTTATAGGTGAGCAAATATTTAGTTTAGCACCAGTACGATTTCGTTTTTTTATTTGTTTTGATTTTGATGTTGGAAGTTTTCTTAAATTGGATTTCGAACGAAGAAATTTTGTTTTCGATAATTTTTTGTTACGTTCGATATTTATACATGTTTTTGAAGACTGTGTTGAATGTACACATGGTGAAGATAATGTGTTTTTGGGCGTCTGAATTTGATCCTTGTTTGTTACTACAACAAAATTTACATTTGTTTAATACATTAGTTATTCGATAATGAAAGAAAAACCAAAAAAAAAACACACAGCTCAGAGAATATACTCCGAACTAACATTCACTCGATTGATAGTTATTTATAATAGAAACTGACATCGAATGTCTAGGTAGTCAGATCAATTACCAAAAAGACACTTTTTGTTTTGCATGACTATAAAACATTAGCTTTATTCTCTTTCTCATAGAAAAGCAAAATTAAGATAAAATGAGAAGAAGTAAATGTTATAAGAAATATTTTTTCAGTGCATAATTAGTAAACGTCACATGTAGTGACTCATTGTGTAGGAAGAAATTCATATTAGCATTCAAAATTTTTAATGTCTTTTCGAAGATTGTAATAAGTTTTTCACTATTCAAAGTTCAATAGAGCAGTACAAAAGATGAGAATTAAATTTTTTAATTTTTCAATTACTTTTTATCATTTGTTGACCATTCGATTGTAAAACTGGATTAAGAGTTGATAGATTTGCTTGAGATTTGATTTTATTTGATATTATTTGAGTTTTTGGATTATCAATCAATTGAGAGATCGATGAAGTTCGATTTTTATTTGATTGAGATAAGTGTTGATTACGAATTATTTTTGTTTTAGATTGAGAAATTGAATGAATTTTTTTTAATCCTGAAGTCAAAGATCGATTCGATGAAATATTTGAATTGATTCGATTATTAGTAATATTAAATCTTCGACGATGTTGAGTCGATCTTAAAGATTTATTTTTATTCATTTTTAATATTGATTCTTTTTTTAATGCAACACGTTGCTTTAATAATCTCTTCTTCTTATTTAAAAACAATTCTTGTTGTTTATGATGATGTTTAAGAAATAATTGTTGACGACTTTTCGGCTATTAGAATAATAATAATCTAATTACTAAGGTTCTAGACGATAGTATTGTATTATTTACCTGACGTTGAAATTGTTGAAGATGATTTCGATTGATTTTTTTATTTTTATGTTTTCTTTTATTTAAACTTTCAATTGATGTTTTTTTCTTTTTCTCTTTCATTTTTCTTATTTGATTTTTATTTTTCTTTGATTTTGAATGTTGTCGATAATTTGATCTACTTTTATCTATTTCATGTTGATATGATGATACAGAAATTCGTTTTTGATTTTTACTGAATTTCATATCGTTTGCTAATCGAATTTGATCACCTGTTTCATATTCTGATGTAGTTATAGTTGGTATTGTTCGATTATAATGAAAATCTAATGGTTGTTCATAGAAAAGTGGATCTTGAAAATTTGATAAACCAAAATTTTGATTTTCATCTGCTGATAATTTCAAATATGATGAACATGGTTTCTTTTCGTCTTTTTGTAAAAATTGTTGGACTGAATCATTTTCAGTGATTGATGATTGATGATCCATTAGTAATGGTTTTTCAATATTGAAATCAATTGGAGATGATGAATGACAAATATTATTCATCATTATAAAATCAAATATAAAGATTAAACAAAAGCAAAAAATAAAGAATTGTGAAGAGAAAATTAAATTTTATCAATAGAAAAAATTTCGAAGGCGCATTATTTTAGTTTTCGTTATTTAATGCGGGATTTTTTTTCTCATTTATTTGTTTGTCAGGTAATTTCACTCGTGAACTTAGGGGAAAAGAGCAAGCAGAAGTACAGAATATCATTGTGTGCACTTCTGCAGTGTGAAGAGAAAAGTCTTAGGCTTACGGAAATTCTATCTTATAAATAACGTTTTACGTAGAAAAATTATCGTAAATTATAACAGATTTTACATCTCTGGGATAAAGAATGGTTCGATCCCCTAACAAACACGATTTTACGCCAACTTAGATAAGCTAGAAAAAGTGATTTCAGGTTATAGTCGCGTGCTACCATCACTCGAAAAAGTTCTCTCGTTCGCTGCAAAATCAAAGATCGGTTACTGATTTATTCATATTTGAGAAATACATGTTTATACAAATCTAAGATATATACAACTTGACGATGATAGTGATTGTATTGTCTTCATTAAACCAGTTTTGCGTTACAACAAAAAAAAAATCCGGATTTATAATACTTTTGGATGCGATTCTTTATTGACACAATCATTACTGGTGCGGAAAAAAATATTTCTCATATACGGTGCTCTGATAAAATGATTTATTTTTATAGCTATTACCATATTTGTTTTTGATTGTTTGAATAACAATCATATTGAAATTGTTACTTTGCTGATATTACAGATTTTCATACAGATTTTGTCCTTATTTTTACTATTCCTATCTAAAGTACTATTAAAAGTTCTATAATTTTTCAGTAAAATGTGATATATTTTCTAGTTCGATATTCAGTTTAATTATTTTGTTTGAATTACTTGTACATTCATTAGAAACAACATAGTATAGATTCAAATGTATATATTACAGTAATATGACAGTCTTTTTTTTGCAAAAAATGACTTTAAAATTCTTCACTTGAATGATATTTTATAAGTAACTGTTCAGTCCTAATCAATATATGTATGTACATGCAATTATTGCACAACTTCAGAAATTTGTTTTTGTAACAAGATAATAAAGTTATATTAATCTAGGTTGAAGTGATGACTGCATATTCAAACTAAAAGATAAAAATTATTAATGATGCATGTTATAAGAAGAATTCCATGAAAAAGGAAAATAAATCCAGAGAAACATGATCAGAAAGTATAAGAACTCGGAAACAAATAGATTATGGTTAATAAAACATTTTTGAGTAGATAATAAAGCGCCATCGTTTGCACTTTAGTAAGCGATACTAAAAAATCCTTATGTTTTTTTCAGTTTACCTAAACACCTGAGAAGAAAATTATAATTTTAAAAATGTGTTTTGTCAAACAATGAGCATAGGATGAGTATCATGTACAATGATAGTCCTTTGAAATTAAAAATATAGATGCTTCTGTTCCCGAAGTAACTAACGAACTCTATATCTTTTTAGAAGTATGGTGGGATTATTTTTAAGAGATTTCAAAGAAAATCTTATTAAAACACTAGTGCTTCTAAGATTAAGTCAAATGTTTAAGAAAATACTACATATATTAATAAAAAAGATTTCAACCACTGATTAATTTAGAGATTGGCATCTACTCATCTTATGCAAGTGCAATCGAAAACTATAAATAGAAGTACACAAGTATGTCACTCCGATGGGGTTTTTTAAAAATATTTAGTTTTCATATTACAGTATTGTTCAAATATGACTGGTTTTGATGCACGAAACAGAGACTCTATCAATCGATTATATATTTGTCGAAAGTGTAATTTAATTTTCCGAGAACCTTGTCAACTTTCTTGTGGTCATCGTCAATGTACAACTTGCATAGAAAATATTGAAGGGTATATTGAAATAAATTATTAATTTCAATTGAACATTCTATTTCTTTCATCAAGGGACATTATCAAATGTACAGAATGTCATGATGAAACACCAAAAAACGAAGTTAGTTTTTGAAATTGTTTTTTATTTGACAAATAATTCTTTGGTTTTAAAGATAATGCCTGATCGAGGTTTCAGAAATGGCATGAAATCATTATCAATTATATGTTCATTATGTCCATGGAATGGTTTATTTAACGATTATGAGGTAAAATAATCATATTACATGAAAGTTGTTTTCATTACAATAGCAATACATATCACAATAATCAAATACTTTTAAAAAATGTTTCAATTTTGTGATTTAAAATAGAACTTTTCAATTACTTTTATTCTACAATGAATTCATATTTCAGGAACATCTCAAAACAGCTCATCCAAATCCAATATGTGAATTTTGTGAAGAAAAATTTAATTCAACCATTGAACTTAACAAGCACAAACAACAAGAATGTACCAAAATTACTGTGCCCTGTGCACTTAAAGAATATGGTTGTTTAGATTCGGTAAGTTGAAATTATTTAAACAAAGAAGTTCTAAGATACAAAGAATACAAAAGACTATTATTTTTCAGTTGAATAATATTTAGATTGATATCTAATGGACTATTCTCTCGATAGTTTATCAAAAAACAACGATTTTTGTCGTTAAAATCGATATTTTATTAAGATAAAATATTAAGGATTAAACTTTGAAAGTTTGATTTTTTTCTATTATCTTTTGATATTAAATTCATAAAATTAATCGAACAAACAGTATTGTACGGTTTCTTTAGGTCTGTCGAGCTCAATTACAAGAGCATTATTTAAGTGATATTCATCAAAAAATAATAATTAGTATTATACGTCGCATTGTGTCTAAACCAACAAATGAACAACAAGTGTCCGGAATGGATGTTGATATTGAACAAGGTGCTGCTAGTTCAATAACTACAACAGCAAATGAAAATATCAGTACACAAATGCAAGAAATCTATGAAACAACAAATACTTTTGCTAATGAAATTCAAACATTAACTGATAATACACAACGTCTTAGTAGTGAATCAATTCGATTACAAAGTTCAACTGAATCTTTAACACAAGAAATTTCATCACTCAAATTGAGTATTCAAGAATACAGTTCTTTTTTAGATGGTATTAAACCTAATCAAGAAATTCTTCAACAAGATGTTGCATTATTGAAACAAAAAATTGATGATATGCAATATGTATCATATGATGGAACATTAATATGGAAAATAAAAAGTTTTCATGAAAAAATGAGTAAGTTTAATTTGAAAAAAAAACACTGCAGTACAATTGCAATAGATGATTCAGTCTGTTCGTCGATAATGATTATAAATCTATCGACAGTAAGCAATAGAACTTTCTTGACTTTATTTAGACAAAAATATTTGTATGTATTTATTCAATCCTTTTAATGCTATTGACAGAGAAAAATAGAAAAATAAAATTTAAAAGCATGTTTTTCTTTGAGTTATTCATTTTCTAGTGGATGCGCAATCTGAACGACAAACATCGACTTCTTCACCGCCATTTTATTCATCACCAACTGGCTATAAAATGCGAGCTCGACTTTATCTAAATGGTGATGGTAATGCTCGACGTACACATATGTCATTGTTTTTTGTTCTAATGCGTGGTCCAAATGATGCAATATTAAAATTTCCTTTCAATTATAAAGTTACATTTTGTTTGTATGATCAAACTCCTCAACAACAACAACAACACATTATCGATTCTTTTCGACCAGATATTAAATCAAATAGTTTTCAAAGACCACGATCAGAAATGAATATTGCTAGTGGTATACCTGAATTCGTTCCATTGACAATGATTCAACAAGAAGGAAATCCATATGTAAGAGATGATACAATGTTTATTAGAATAATGGTTGATTTTGGTGATATGTCAAAAATATTGTTATCATATGCATTGAGTCTTGATCCTGGATTGCCAATGCATATTCAACAATTAATGATTAAACAAGAAATAGAACGAAGAGAACAACAACAATCTCAACAAACCCCTATATCAACTGCAAATCATCCCATTACATTAATGATGCCACCAAATAATGAAACCCAATCAGGTCAAACAATATTCAACCTAATTCCATCACCTAATGCAGCAAATACTAATGATAGATCTCAAGATCCAACCAATAATTAGAATAATTAACAGTTAAGATAGCATTGAGTCAAGAAAAAAATATTTGACTTGTACAGATTTTTTGCAATATAAGATGTAACCAAAAAGTCGAATAATGTTGTCAAACGAGCTATGAAATTTTCGTGATATATCTTTTGAGTCTAGAACATTTGAGATTTGAATTATGAGTCTTCTAACACTTGTACTTTTCATATTTAATATTTTCGATGTGTCACTCTACGACTTTGTCTGTAACACATAATTTATTTCCAACCTTAGCAACGTGACGAGTTAAACCTTCAGTTGACTAATAATGCTTCTAACAATAGATGTGTTTGTGTTGTCAATTAATAAGACTAGGAATATTTGGATGAAAGTACCGGTTTCGTCGATCAACTAACAAATTAAAATTATAGGCTGTTCTTGTTGCGCACGGACCAAAATATTGGAATTTTAAAGTATTTACAGTATATATGAGGTGCTCGCAATTCAAAATATGAGCAAAGTTTTCTTTTTCTTTTTGTCGTGATGTTTGGATAGAACACATCGAATTTTATTAGAAATACTACGTTCTTCAAAAGTTAGAATTTCTGGTCTATCTTCTCTTATGTTTGAGAATGATGATATTTTGAATGGTTCTCATGAGATGGTTTTTTTTATTTGAAATATCCTTTTTCTTATACAACTCGATGGGCTCTATCCAATCACCACACAAGAGGAAAGAAAACTCCGATAAAATTTTGAATTGCGAGCATCTTACATATACTATGAATACATTAAAATTGGAATATGTCGGATCGTGCGCCACAAGGACAGCGTATATTTTTATTTTTTGATTTGCCAATGAAAGCTTTAATTTGACCCGCATATATCTAATCTTATTAACTAACACTACAAACACTTCCATTAGAAGTTCATAATTGAATTAATATTATAGACAAGATTTGATATACACAATATTGAACAATTATAATTTATTGATGTAAATTATTATCAATGACACAAATAAAACAACCATCGTAATTTTTTATAATAATCTGGTACTTCTTTTGATATCAGACTACTAATGAAAGCCTATCTTTGTTCTCCAATTTCTGTATACGAAATAAACCTTGCTAGTTTTTTAAATTCAGCTCGAAGTCCTCATCTATGAGAGAAATTGAAACTCATCTATCGATTAATAGGCTCAACAATTCTGAAAAAACAAATAAAAACCTTTTATTAATTGGAGAAGACTCAGAATTAAAGTTGAATGATCAAGTACATAAATGTTGTGAGATCAAGTGTTTGGAAGATAGTGTTTGGAAGCTCAAAA